TGAGATAACAGAAGACACAGAAACCAACTTCTGCACATAGAGCCATCTGATTTTTGCAAAGAGGCCAAACATAACCTGGAGAAAGGACAGACTCTTTACAAATGGTATTGAGCAAACTGGATATCCACATGCAGAAGACCGAAACTAGTTCCCTATCTCTGACCCCGTACTAAAGTTGAATTGAAATGGAGCCAAGGCCTAGAAATGAGACTAGAAACTGAATATGCTGGACAAAAAATCATAGAAGAAACACTTTAAGTTTGTAGGCATAGGCAAAGATTTCCTGAATAGGACTCCAACAGCACAAGAAGTAACAGCATTAATTACAAATGGGATTATATCAAATTAAAGAGCTTCTGCACAGCAAAGGAAACAAACAAAAGAGCGAAGAGACAATCTGCAGAATGGGAGAAAATGTTCACTAGCTACTCTTCTGATAGAGAATTAATATCTAGCATATATAAAGAACTCAAATGATGCACTAGGAACTCCCAAAGAATACAATCAATAAATGGGCAAATGAATAGACATTTCCCAAATGAAGAAATACAAATGGCCAAAAATTATATAAAAATATTCAAAATCTTCAGGCTTTGGGGAGATGCAAATCAAAACATCAGAGTGGCTATTATCAAGAATACCAAATAGTTTCTCTGGTGTGAAAAATTAAAAGTGCAAATAAGTTCAAATGGTATAATTGAGAGTGTGAAATAGGAAGAAAATGACTAAAGGAGAAGTGGGAAGGGGAGGGGAAAGGAAATAAGGGGAAAGAAAAAAATGTGCAAAAATGGAAACAAAGTCTTTGTAAATAGGGAAAGGTGAAGCGGGTGAAGGGAGGGTAGCGGGATGGGGAAAAAACAAGAACCAAGACATCATGTAAAGGTACAAGATCCCAATGATAAATGTAACTGTATTGTTTGCTTTTTACCAATAAACTTAACAGGAAAAAAAGAATACAACCAAAACAAAATAAATGCTGGAGAGGATATGGCAAAAGGAACCCTCTTTCAGGGTTGGGGAGAAGGTAAACTAGTATAACCACCATGGAAATCCATGTGGAGGTTGCACAAAAAGCTAAAAGTAGAAGTACCATTGGTCCATCTATACCAAAGAATTAAAGACACAAACTATAGTGATACATACATGCCCATGTCTATAGTAGTGCAATTCACAATAGCTCAGCTGTGGAGACAGCGTGGTGCCTGTAGACAGATGAATGGATAAAGAAAATGTGGAATATTACTCAGCATAAAGACAAATGAAGTTATGTTACTTGCAGGAAAATATATGGAACTGGAGACTAGGATGTTGTATAAAATAAGCCAGTCTCAGAAGGTTAGATATCCAATGTTTTCTTTTATATGAGAAATCTAAAAAAGTAAATAGAAGAAAAGGACAGGAAACTAGAAGACAGACTTTCAGAGATGGAGAAGGGGACTATGGGTACAGATTTCTTTCCAAAGACTTCAGTAAAGTTCTTTCCAATGTTCAAAACTTTGTTTTATTATGCACTTATGGAATATTTACTCATATATACAAATAACTTATAACAATAAGAAAACTCACAAGTGAGTTGTCCCTATTTCCATAGGCCAGCACAGGTTCATCTCATAGTTATATCAATAAATACTCTATAGTAGGGAGGGAGGCAGGGGAAAGGAAAGAAGGGAAAGAAAAAATAGGAGAAAAAATGGAAGCACTGTTTTTGTAAATGGGGGTGGTGAGGGAAAGAAGGGGAATGGGGAAAAAAACAAGATAAAAAAGAAAGAAAAAAAATGCTCCATAGTGTTTACAGAAAATATCTTATAATAACAGCACAGTGCCAATACAAAAGTGGTATCTATCCTAAATCTTATGTTTTTTTAATGTCGTGACTAAGTTTTAGGACAGATTATCACACAGTTGATTCTGAGTTGGACATATGAAGGGATGGACACATCTTTAAAATCAGTCATCACAATTATGGCTGTGCAGGGTGGGAGACTTTATTATGAAGGGAAAGAAATCAACATCTCCACCTCCTATCATGTTCAGCTCTGGGTTAAGCATGTGGGACATGCAGACGGGTAGTCCGTGCACTAACCTTAAGAAGTAGGAATTATTATATTAATTTTATAAGAGGAACTTGAAGTCAAAGAGATAAAGTATCTTGTCTCAAGTGAAATAGCTTTCCTGTGCCTAGCCAGGACTCATCACAGTTTGTTTGACTCCCAGTGCCCGACCCATTTTCCTATTGTGAGCTGGCCCCATTGTGCCACACTGTCTCTTTTTACAGGTTGAATATTCCTTACCTGCAATGCTCAGAACCAGAAGCATTTCAGATTTTGGAAAACTTTCCTATAAATAGTGACATATCCTTGAAATAAGACATAAGTTTAAATACAAATTCACTTGTTTCATATGCGCCTGATACATATTGCCTGAAAATAAGTTAATACAACATTTTAAATAATTTCTTGTATTTTGACTGTCACATGAGGTCAGGTATGGAATTTTCCACTTGTGGTATCATTAGTGATCAAAAAAATTGGGATTTTGGAGCATACTTAGAGATGCTCAATTTGTATTAAATGTAATAAGGTTAAATAGTTTTACAATGATCATGATCACTAGTTTTCTTTTTAGGTACTATTTTTATTGCCTTTCTAACTTGTCATTCCTATGGTAAGGACTTCTAATCCTAAAAACAACCTTGCAATGTGATGATGAATTTTTGGAGCCACTAGGGACACTGCATGCTTTAGTCATTTTCACTGCTGCATGTCCTTATTTTACTGAGGAGGGAACAAAGTTAATCAGTCATAAATAACCCACTCACGGTCTCAAGGTGACTGAGTAGGTGTTTAGACTCAGGCCTGACTTATTCTTGTGCCTGTGGGCTCTTTTCACTTTGGCAACTTTAAAAACATATAATATCACATTCAAATTAAGTAACTGCAATTCTAAAGTTCTAGAAGTGAACTGATAACTTAAGGCAATATACAGCCATGCTTCCAACTTGAATATGGGTCTCCTGGACCTTTCTGGAAATGACTCTTAGAGCCTCTTTACTTGAATAGTGTTCCACATTCTCATGGCTTTAGTTCATATTATTTTCACACAAAATATAACATAACTCATAACCCTGGCCCATGGGCTGGATTCTTCAAACAAGAGTGGCCCTCGGGAGTCCCCATTGTGTAATGAATACAAGGAATCAGGCCTTTGCTAGGAGTTTTTGCCCAAATGATGCTCAGGAAACCTGTGGCCTTAGTAGGTCAGGAATAATTCCTGTTGTTTCTTTAACTAGATTTAAGGAATATAAAGCTTTAAGAAAATTACAAAAATAGTGATATTTAATATTAAATATCCAAGAACACTTGGATTAATAAAATAAAGGAACTGTAGATGACCTAAAAATTGATTTCTCATCTCTGATCTGTTTCTGTATCTTGAAGCTCATCTGATCCAATTTTAAATCTACACTGCTTTTCATAGTGAGTGTTTCCATTGGTGATGATCATAAAGGCAGAAATCAGCCTGGCTTTGCTTTTCAGACTAAAGGTAAAATAAATACTAATTTACAAAAGTAGTTATACTGTTATTGTTTATATGAATTGTGACTTATCTACTAGTCAGTTCATTTTAATTTAGACCACTATACCTTTCATGATACAAAGGAAATAAAACAGATAGCTCATGATGTAGATAAAATATGTAACTTGTTAAATTTTTATCCTTAAAAGACTTCTCTTGGGCTATACATATATTATTCTGCTTTTAGTATGTATACAAATTTTCCCTTTTAAAATACATAAATATATGATTTGAAGTCTTACATTTATGAGTTATAAAAGTTTATTTACAAGTCTCTTAAAACATAATATTCTATATAAGATAAATTACTCTTGAAAGACACAACCAGTCCCTTCAACACCCAAGAACAGGCTAAGTAAGGTGGCTCTATTGGAGTAAACTTGCATCACTATGAATTCTCTAGTTATATATCAAGAGCATACATAAATTTTAAACTGTAGAATAAGCTTACTGAAATTCTACAGAGATGGAAGCATTATTTGCCTTACTTGATCTCTTGAGAGCAATATCATTATGCCTTTAGGACTGCCCAAGACAATCAGGGACTCATAGCACCATAATTTTAGGGCTAAATAAAACCTAAGCACCCTGGGTTGAATCATTCTACGTTCATCAACTAGTTTATTCATTACATTCTCCTATTTCTTCAAGTCTAAACTCTATCCAACACAGTATACAACTCAGATCCTCTGCCTTCCAAAACCATTTCTTGCAATGGTCAGCTGGAATCCAGCTCTTTTCTATGGATGCCCATAGAAGTGTTCTCTCTGTTCCTCCTATAATGCTTAAGTGTCTTTTTCCTTGCTCTGTAGTTATTTGCTGATGCTCTGTATTTTCTGTACCAGACATGAGCTCATCAAGGGGCCATCTGAACCACATTAGTTTCCTTTGTTATATAACTTACTGATAGTAGGTTCCCAAGTATAGAGTATTGAAAATATACTTAATAATCTCTGTTAGCCATAAAGAGTTTTTAAAAGAGAATGAAAGCACTATTAACAAGTATTTTAGGAAACCCTTGGTCAAGAAAGAAAGCCACAAGAATAGAAAATTCTTCAAAATGTAAGTCTCAGTGACTGGCACATGAAAGTGACACATTCAATTTCTTCACCTTTATACACCCTCCAGAAGATCAAACGTTAATAAAATATTTATCTTCGGTTGTCACAAGACTGACTTTGATTTAAAACTCTTGGGTACATGAATGTCATGCCAGTCCAGAAATACACCATCATGTATTTTTAATTTAAACACAGATGTGTAAAAAATTTATCTATCCCTGATATGAACAAATTTTAGGGTAAATCTCTTAGTCCACAAACAAGAATACAGAATCTCAAAATGATTATTAAATTTCCATACAAGTGCAAAGAAAAGCATTCTGCTTGTGGTTTTGAAATGACATGTAAAATTCATTCACTTACCTTTAGGGAATCAAAGCAGGCAATTACTCTTCCATTTTCCACCTGACAACTTTTTGGGGGGTGAGCAAATTTGCATTCCTCATCGGAGCGTGAGCACGTTCCTCTCTGGAACTGTCTGCAGACTTCTAACGTCAGCCATTTTGTATCTCTGACTGGGGCAACGTTCAAAGCCATGATGAGAAAGTACTTTGGACTCTTAGTTTCTGTTAAAGGATGAAATCAATCCTAGTTCCAATGACTCCAAAACTACTGTTGTGAAAACTCCCACATGTAAGTCTGAAGGTAAGTGATAAATTTCTTAATGAAGTCCAATCCAGGAGACAGAGTGCTGAGAGAATTTATTGGCAGGCAGTCACTCATCAATCAATATGCCCCACTTGAAGACTGAGGGCTGCAATAAAAGCATGCTCAGTGTCATCTCTGGCTTTCTGTGTCTCAGTCTCTTGACTGTTTTGCAGATATAACTTTTTAATAAAGTGACTTAAATATCATGGCACTCCTTTGGAGAATATTCAGTTTTGATGCTCCACTATGGATGTTGCTGGAAAAGAATCCTCTCAGAAGTTCATATTTTAGTAGGATATTTCCTTTCTTCGTTCTTTTGAAATTCTGAAATTAAGCAACTAGCAAAGTCAGACAGCTGAGGTATCTTCTTCCACTTATAAAGTCAGGGTAAAGTGTACTTGACAGAAAAATGAGATGTGAATGTAAAAAGAACTCCCAGACTGCAGTTTCCAGCAAAAGTGACTTCACACAGGCACTTTTAAATCACGAACCTGCAAAACACAATAGAACATCTACTTATGCCCAAACTCAGTGAAATTGAGACTTAAAACAGTCTATTAATCTCTTGTCTAGAATCTGCAAAAGTGCAGTTTAGAGCTTTGAATATAGTGAGGAAAGTTATGCATTAAAAAAAGAATATGCATTCAAAGCCGAATTGCAGAATGGTCTAGGCAGTAGTCCAAAAGTTAGGAATGACTCAAACATATGAGTGTGGCAGACACAATAATTAGGCCTTCTGCAACAATTCAATCTAATGTGCTTAATCGCGAAACAGTGTATTACCACTGTGGCTCCCAATTAATTTCACATTTAGGCCATTGATTTTATTGTGGGGAATGCTATCAACAATTATTTGGGATGTGCTTCTTCTATATAATGAAGATATTGTCATTTTGTACGAAGCATGGTCTCCTACTCTTTATGTTATTTCTAGTTTTCAGAGACTTGACCTTCGAGGTAGATAGATAGGTAGGAGCCTCTTGATATTTATTCTCTGCTCTCTTACCATTCCCTCCCTCCTGTTCTTGCTTAGTGTTAGCATTCTCCTTATACTTTCTACAGTAAAAACTACTTTTTATAGTTTCCTGTATCTCAGGTTCCTTGGTTCAAGGCATCTATTAGGCCTCAAGAAATATTTATTGACTAATTTACCTAATGACTAAATGAATGCAAGTTAATTTTAGTTGAGTTCAGTTTTAGTTGAGACATATTCTAAAAATGGTTTCTTGTATGGATCCTGTAATTAAAACATGCATACACCAAAAATATAAGAAGTTCAGATTTCTAAAGTCAGCATATTTCATTTCTCTTAATTTTTCCAAAGGTTATAAAATTATTCAAACATTAAAAATTTAACATTACCAGGATAAGTATGAATAAAAGATGATGGTCCAGAAGCTGGTCATTTTCACAAATTGTATATACCATAAACTATCTTGTATACTTGCTTAGCCTTGTCATGCTTCTAAAAATTGTTCAGCTGAGAACTTAATGCACATTGAAAGTAGATTACAGTTGAGCCAAATAATGACATATCAGTCAATGATGAAACAGATACATGTTTGTGGTCCCGTAAGAGTATAATTTAGCTAAAAAATTCCTACTGTCTAGTGACATCTTAGCCATTGTAACTGTGTTTGTGTGATGCTGATGTAAATGAACCTGCCAGTCATAAAAAAGTATAGAAATGTAATGATATGAAGTTATTAATACTTGATAATGACAATAAATAAATTACTGTTACTTCCTGCATATTTGTCATACTATACTTTTTATCAGTATTTTAGAGTGTATACCTTCTACTTATAAAAAGATGCTTACTATGAAACAGTGTGCCATGTTACATGTCAGCAGCAGTTTCAAACATTTTTTTTTATCAAAAGGCTGCATGGAGTGAGTGACCTATACCATTTCAATGAAGTTTACTTAGCTGGGTAAACCAAGCCAAACAGGCTTCCTTGCAATAGTGCTTTTCCTATTCTTGGAAGAGCTGCTGTGTTTGCTCGGTTTGTAGCAGGGGAGAGGGACCAGAATGGTATCTCTCTCGCTTTTCCAATCATGGCACATTTATTTAGAAAGTCTTCTCTTGGGGCTGGTGGTTGATGCTACTTCATCTCAATCATTCTTTTATTTTTTATTTCTTTGTAAAAGTGTTTCCATGAGCTACATAGGTATGTGCATTTAAGGAAACGGGCAGTGTTGAAAGCTGTGACACATACCTAGCTTCAATTATAAAATATTTGAGGGAGCCAGGCAGGCTCCTGCTTGTCTGTTTTGCAGCGCACGCACATTCACAGCACCAACATGAACTACCTTCAGTCGAGGAGCTTAGGAAGACAAAAGTCTAATTGCTCAGATTCTTAGGCTGGCCTGGGCCTGTGTCCTAACGACCTTCACCCACCTCTCTTACCCCAGTGGAGAACAAAACACAAGGGAAGCAAGGGCTGAGAGAACGTGGCCTCCCATGTCCGTGGAGATGGGCACTAATGTTAAGGGGAGTCAAATCATGGGCTGAATGTGGTTTGTATTTGTAAAATGTTATAGAGAGTTCCCGAGTCCTGCATAGGACAATAAAGATGAAGTATGTGCTTATTCTCAAAGTCAGTGGAGTCTCCCTCGGGCTTCACATCTAGGAGAGAAACAGGAAAACATATGCATTTATGCGTGGGTGACATGAGTAATTACTCAGATATTCCTAGAAACCACACAGGGCCAGTGCTTTCAATCCAGTCCAGTATAAGCTTTGGCATATACCTTTAGCTGAGAAAGACATTTCCCCTAGAGAAATAGATTCTCATTTCTAGTTATAATAAAACCCAAACAATTTAGATGGTCAGACTCTATCAAAATAAACTTGCCTTTAGAAAAAATAATTTATTTTAATAACAACTAATAGTATATATTTATCAAGTATAACAGTGTTTTGAAATGAGTATATATTGCAGATCATCAACATACACATATTATTTTGGAGGTAAGAACATTTAAAATCTACTCTCAATGATTTTCAAGAATATAGTAACTTGCTAGTAACTATAGTCAGTGAGTTATACAATGGATTTCTAGAACTTATCCTTCCTGTTTAACTGAAATCTTATACTATTGATTAATATCTCTAGTCCTTATTTTCCTCCAGATCTGGTAAGCATCATTCAACTCTCTTTTTCTGTGAGTTTATTTTTTAGATTATACACATAAATCTTTAATATAAACTTGCTTTTAAAAGCAGGGGTAGGGCAGGGAGGGGATTTAGCTCAGTGGCACCTCACCTGCCTCACAAACACAAGATCCTGAGTTTGATCCCCAGTACAAAAAACCAAACCAACCCCCCCACCAAAAATCTACTTCATCAGAAACGTAAAAGCAGGGGTAGCCAAGTTTTCTAATGGCCAAGTCACTTGTAAATCAAAGATGTCCTGGAAGGAAAAACGGATGCATTAATTTTTGCACATGGACGTGCTGCTGTTAGAACCTCTCATGCACATAGCCTTCTCCCAGCCTGTTCTTCATCCCAGCCTTAGAGTTATGCAGCTAGTTATCAAACGCACTGCCCCCTTAGGCCGTAATGACAAGTGGGTACGGGCCAGAGGCTGTGGGAGCCAGGAGGAGAGAGCGGATTTGAATTAGCTTAGGATGAGGTCTCCATAGGAGATGAGCAATGCTGAGCAAGGATGTTGCTTACCAGCTAAGAACACTAACACAAAGACCTAATTAAACATGAGGTCTCCCGGACTGCAGGTGCCTGGGAGAAAAGGGTGTGTACCCGGCGGTGTCATCCAGCACAGGAACCACCAGCTACATTGCCTGCGCGTGCAGTGCAACTGAGAAACTGCATCTAAAATCTTGAGTGCCAGTCTACTTTCGTCAATTGTAATTTGATGAAACCTAAACACAGATCAAGTATTTCCAATGAAAATTAGCATCCAAATGGAGATGTACCGAAAGTGTAAAATACACACTGAATTTGGATTTGGTATTTTAAAAAAGAATGTCGCAATATGGTATTAGTGTGGTCTCATTTACCCCATGGTGAATTGAAAATATTTTAATATATTGGGTTAAATAGTATTAAAGCTTATACAACTTGCTTCTTTTTACCACTAGAAAATTCAGAATTATATATGTAGCTCCCATTGTATTTCTGTTGACAGCACTCTTCTTACATGGAACTTTCTGGAATGGTGGAAAGTACCTAGTCCTAAGAATCTGCTTCCAGCCTTCATCTTGCCAAGGCCCTTGTTATCTATCTTTGCTGAGTCAATTTTTCTGAGATCTACCTTCTTTGCCTGTAAAATGTTGATAATAGTCTCTGCCTCCCTTTACATGGGGAAATATAAAAGTTCTTTGTAAACAGTAAATTGTCCCAAGAAAGGTGATTAAAAAGTTTCTCTATACATATTTATCAGTTAAATCTAGTTTCAGGCTTCTTGTTTCCCTGCAATAATGCTGTGTGGATGACCAGATTGTGCCTGGGGTGCCTCAACCCTAGCACAGATTGTGAGCAGGAAGATGCCTTGGAGATCAAAGACATGGCTGCACCTGGAGCTCCTTATCCATCCATGGCAGCCCTCAGGTCTTCATTCTGTAGCTCCAGGGAACCATAGAGAGATTTCACTACCTCATGCTTCTAGCTGCTGCTAACCCGGAAGTGAATGGGGTGCCATCAGGCCTCCAGTAGTCACCAAAGGTGAGAAGTGCAGTGGAATGCTCTGGAAGTACTGGTCTGAGCCTGCTTCCTTTGGGGGCACAGTTTACATTCCCGCTGTCTGAGTGAGTGGAGGTGGCCCTTTCAAGTTCCTTTGCCCACAGGCCCCCTTGTCAATCATGTACCTGTCTAGAAAAGGCTCCCCCTGTTCTGATTGCCAAAGAGTTTCTTTGGCAATTGACCCTCAGTATGCCAGACCCCATCTACCGTCCCTACAAGTTCCTGGGTTGCCCTGGGAAGCAGGATCTCAATTCACATCACTCTCCACTTCTGTGTAAGCTTGTGACTGCATTTTCCCACATCTTTTTATTTTAAATAAGTTTTATTGTGTGTTTGAGGTTTAAAACATAATATATTTTATGAGATACACAGATAGTAAAATGGTTACTGTAAGGAAGCAGATTAACACATCTGTCATCTCACATAATTTCCTCTTAATGACAAAGCACTAAAATCCTAAAAGAATACAGTTTTACTGACTTTAGCCTTCCTTAGGTCTTTGTATGTGTTCATCTTTGCTAACAGCTACTTTGTATCTCTCTTCCCTTCTTTTTGGCTCTGGCTTCAATTTCCAATGTCCCAAGTCATCCCACCTTCACCAGCCTCTACCCACTTGTGTAGAATTAGGTGAGACTTGGAAATGGCTGCCTCCATTATTTCTCTGGCCATTAGTTTCTCCTTTGGCTTCCTCTGCTGGCATGCAGAATCCTGCCTCTCTAAGCCCCCTCACGGAGGAAGAGAGAGCTTGCCCTTGCTCTTTCACTGGGGCACCTGGCTAGCCTTTCC